GAAAAAGAATTCTTTATTGGCCAAATGTGATTAGAGGCACACAAGGAATTTGTCTCCACTGCATAAGCTCAGTGTACATACAACAATAGTGATAGATCATTATCATAGTCATTGTAAAAATACATTCATCATAAAATGTGATTAAATAAATAATTTTATTTATTTCGTGGCTTGGCAACTTCAGTATTCCACAACTCGCTTGGCTGGGGATTCAAAATAGAGTGCAAGGTCAGAAAAAGGGTGAATTCAATTACCAATTTATGCTTTGAATTTATGCCCCTAAAGCCTTATCCCAACATCCTAGGATTTAATTATTGGCTATTTCAAAAGGAATTTGAGATGGAGACGATCGAAAGGTCGGCAGTTCGGCGGTTCGAATCCCTAGTGCTGCGTAATGGGGTGAGTTCCCGTGACTTGTCCCAGCTTCTGCCAACCTAGCAGTTCGAAAGCAGATAAAAAATGCAAGTAGAAAAATAGGGACCACCTTTGGTGGGAAGGTAACAGCGTTCCGTACGCCTTTGGGGTTGAGTCATGCCGGCCACATGACCATGGAGACATCTTCGGACAGCGCTGGCTCTTCAGCTTTGAAACAGAGATGAGCACCGCCCCATAGAGTTGGGAACGGCTAGCACATATGTGCGAGGGGAACCTTTACCTTTACCTTTAATTTGTCCTTGGAATCTCTGCAGGTTCTGTTTCTAGACCTCGTTTGAAGGGCTGACGCTACTGAAAGAATGGCCCTTTGGGGGAATGTGATCTTCCACAATCTGATGGATGATCTTATCTTGTCAGCAAACCTAACTGACATTTTTGCCATGAGTAAAGCAATAAAATGTCAGGGCAAAAACCTTTTTTTTTCTGGAAGGATCAGAACAATCTGACATTTAGAAAAGACACGTAGCAAAAAGCAAAGCCACTTCAGAAGATGCAAATGAGATGGTAGCTAAACTAAAACATGCCAACAGCCCAGTTAGTTAATTAGTTAGTTAACTTGTGCCTTCTAACTACCAGGGTCACCCTGCAAGGCTCACAACCATCAGATGTTGTACAAACAAAATTATTACTCAACGATGTATACCAAATAGATAAATATTGATCTTTCCAAGAACGTCTGACAAGCAAAGTCAATGCGGAAGCTCGATTCATTTAACAATGGCTGTGCTCTGCTTAACAAATATTGTAAAAAATATATATTGTAAAATCAGGTGTGACTTATTTAACAACCGTCTTGCTGAGCAACATAAATTATTGTCACTGTTGTGGCTGTTAAGTCAAGGACTTAACAGTTGTGCTCCGTTGTTTCTGTCAGGAAGCAACACGGCAGAGGAATTGAACTAAATTTCAGGGAGTGGGAAAATTAGTGACCATCTTGGAAACATAATCTTGATCCATCAAAAAAACCCATATAAGGAATCTTTCCAGAATGTTGCTTCCTGCAGAAATCCCTAAGAATTCAAGGAATTTCTAAATTAAATGAGTTTAAGACTAAGAAAAAAGGTATTGTCTACTCCCTTCTAATGACTTATTTAGAACAACCATAATCCTCTTGAGTTCCTAGCAAATAATCCATCCTGGTAAAAGGACAGCTGTGTTAGGATTGGGCGTCCCATTTTCAGATGAACACATTTTATTGAAAGGCATTGTGTCTGCCTTTTAATAATTGTGTTAATCCCAATAGTTGCTACTCAGTTTCTGATGATTAGCAAATAAGAAACTTCTGGATCCACCTGGTACTTTCTCTTCCATTTACACTTGTTGGCTGTCCACAATTAAACAAATTATAAACTACCTCAACCATTAGGATTTGAACAGTATACTAAGACCCCCATATAAATTAACTAAGGTTAAAAGTTAATTTTCCTTGTTCTGCAAAAGTCAAGATTTTTAACTGTCTTGGTTAACCATGTTGTAGAAATCTAACTAGTTTTACTGCCAAAGGAGAGGGAAATGATTTGGCTTTTATGAACGAGTGCCTTGAAGTAGGTTTTTGAAGCATCTGGACATCTAATAATTTCTAATTTCACCGTTTGGAGCGTACAGTATTGCTTGTGTGACCTGCCCGCTAGCACAAAACCACTTGCTTCAATTGTTCTCCCTTTTTCCATGCTGATTTAAAAAAAAAAAAAACCACAAACACTTTAGCCGACGTCTCTGTGATTTTTAATTGCTTGCGAGCGATTCGAGCAGCATCTGACCCATGCAATCTGATGCATTAATAGCTCTCCAGATGCTTTCTGCTAGCAAGAATTCCCTCCGCCGGTGCTGGTTGCCAGGGAGACCGTGTGCTTGTCTCCTACAGCCTGACATCAAGTTTTGGCAGCCTTGACTGTTTGTTCCCTCTGGGCTTAGTGAAATTCCAGCCGAGGCTTCAATACTTTCGAAAGAGTTGAACTCTTGATCGTGCTCAGTATGTTAATCGAGAAACAAAAACTCGACACAGAAAAGCCTCCGGGGCTTCACTTGTTTTCTCTTCCATTTCGATTCCATCCATTTCTAGGCAAGAAAAACCAAAAGTACACATATAGACTGGGGGAAACCAGGCTTAATAGCAGTAACTGTGAGGGACCTTGGAGTCCTAGTGGACAACCAGCTAAATATGAGCCAGCCGTGTGCAGCCGCCGCCAAAAAAGCCAATCCAATCCTAAATTGCACGAACAGAGGAATACAATCAAGATCAAGGGAGGTACTAATACCACTCTATAAAGCCCTAGTAAGACCACACCTAGAGTACTGCATCCAGTTTTGGTCACCAGACTATAAAAAGGATGTTGAGACTCTAGAAAGAGTGCAGAGAAGAGCAACCAGGATGATGAGGGGACTGGAGGCTAAAACATACAATGAACGGTTGCAGGAACTGGGCATGGCTGGTCTAGTGAAGAGAAGGACCAGGGGAGACATGATAGCAATGTTCCAATATCTGAGGGGCTGCCACAGAGAGGAGGAAGGGGGTCAAACTATTGTCCAAAGCCCTCTAGGCCAGACAAGGAACAATGGATGGAAACTGAACAAGGAGAGATTCAACCTAGAAATAAGGAGAAATTTTCAGACAGCGAGAGCAATCAAATCAATGGAACAGAAGTTGCGTTTAGAAGTTGTGGGAACTTCATCAATAGAAGCTTTCAAGAAGAGACTGGACTGCCATCTGTCAGAAATGGTGTAGGGTCTCGTTGGGTGGGGGGTTGGACTAGATGACCTACAAGGTCCCTTCCAACTCTATTAATCTGTTATCTAATCTGTAATTCCAGCGTTCTTCGTTCCCATTGATTTCGTGGCTGGGAAAACTGGCGATATTCTCCTTGCAATGAATGTTTTAATGTCTCCAAGGGACACTGCACGACATGTAAGGTTTTCTAGCATGAGTTGGGGGTACTTACAAGGAAGATGTTGCTAATGCAAGCCCCGGGGGGGGGGGGGTCTTCTAACGGGGGGGGGGGATTGCAGAAATCTCAGGTTAAATTAATTTGAGACGGCGGAACTGGGAAGCATCTCCATCAGGATCTCACAAAGCTAACCGAATCTAGACTTCTGCAGGTAGTTCTCCACTTAACGACTACAATTAAAGACACAATATTTAAGTGAGTTTTGCCCCATTTATTTTATGGCCTTCTGGCCACCGTTGTTAAGTGAACCGCTGCTGTTTTAAGTTAGTCACACATTTTGTTAAGTGAATTGGGCTTCCCCCCCCCCCGGTGGATTTTGCTTGTGAGGTCGCAAAAGAGGAATCACGTGACCTCCGGGGGACACTGAAACCGACATATAGACAAGTCAGTTGCCAAGCCTCTGAATTTTGATCACATGACCACGGAGCTGCCGCAACGGTCGTAAGGATGAAAAACGGTCGTAAGGCTCATTTTTTTCAATGATATAACGTTGAGGAGTCATTGAATAAATGATATAAGTAGAGCGTTCCCTATATACTGTATTATGAGGGGAAGGGAGAGGGGTTATATGTCTATTACTTCCTCCTCCCACAGAATGACTAATAAAGGCATCAAGCCAGAGCTGGAATCAAGATTTATAAATTAAGATAAGCAATTCAGTGCTCAAAGCATGAATCAGATGACCCTTGCATGATATCCCAGCGGGGATAATCTATCCCTCCCCCTCCTCTCCTCAACCAAGAGAAAATTGGAGAAGCGATGTGAGGGCTCTTTGGTGCTCTCTGAGCTGGGTTGTTTTCTTGCAGATGTTTTATTACCCAACTAGGTAACATCATCAGTGCTAAAAGGGAGTGGGGTTTGGGGAGAGGAAGAGGAGGAAGAGGAGTAGGAACTGTGGGGTCCTTGGTGCTCTCAGCTTGGTTGTTTTCTTGCAGATGTTTCATTACCCATGTAGGTAACATCATCAGTGTTAGAAGGGAATGGGAATTGCTAGGAGGCGGGGTAGTAGTATTGTGGGATCCTTGGTGCTCTCTGACCTTGGTTTTCTTGCAGACGTTTCATTACCCAACTAGGTAACATCATCAGTGCTGGTTTAAGGAGTGTGACGTGACATGGTCTTTTAACTCCTTGGATTTCGATCAAAGCAGGCCCAACTTTCTGGGACAAGGAATTAAGACCAGGAAGAGAAGGGATTCTGTTGCTAAAAAATGGGAGAATGGCAGGATGTATAAAAGGAAGGCACAAAAACACACACTGGCTGAGTTTAATCTTGCCTAGGCAGGTGTTTCTCAAGGTGTGGACTTCAACTCCCAGAATCCCCTAACTCAGTGGGCTGGCTGGAGAATTTTGGGAGTTAGAATTCCACACTCTCCAAGTGGCCATGGTTGAGAAACACTGGCCTAGACCAATGTTTCCCAACCTTAGCAACATGAAGAGGTGTGGACTTCAACTCCCAGAATTCCCCAGTCAGCTGGCTAGGGAATTCTGGGAATGGAAGTCCACTCACCTTCATCCACTGTCCACTAAAATTCAGGAAGTGTCTTCAGTGTCCTTAGACATCCGTTGGAAAACTTCACCCAAGCTTTGAGATGTGATTGAAGAGCAGAAAGACTGCAGACACAAAACTGAAGATCTTTATTGCAGACAAGAATGAAGCTATATATACAGATTTTTGCCAGGAGAGTACAGCGTGCGAAGATCACAATCAATACAGGATTTAAGTTCCAGGGGTTAAAATCCATGTTATCTTTGGCCATCATCTCAAATAACCTTTCTTAGTCAATGGCTGTTTTGGCTACTGTCATGAAAGCAAGGTGGCTCCTCTTTTGCTACCTTACAATCTTTCCACTTAGGACAGGGATCTCCTTACAATCTTTCCACTTAGGACATCCCCCGGCTGGCTGGGGAATTCTGGGAGTTAAACTCCACAAGTCTTAAAGTTGCTAAGTTTGGAGACCTAGAATATCCTGGTAAGGAAATGGAAACAATGTCTGCCCATTCCACCTGTTCCCTTCCCCTTTTTAATGAATATATTTGGCTTTAATGTTTTACTTCATTTAATGCACTGTTTATTATGGACGCTAGTGTGGTTTCTATTGGAAACCGCTTCAAGATGCTTTGCAATAGGATACGCTTTTAGAAATCTATTAAATAAGGAATATATTCCAACAGAGATTTCAGAGAAATCTTGAGGGAAACTCTTCGGAATTAAAACCCTTTTTTAATGAATTCCAATGCAGTTTATCAATGGCTCCTGTCCATCAACTTGGAAAAAGCAGGAGGGAGAGAGCAGGGGTATGGGGGGAAAGTTTGGGACAATTTTAACAGAGATGGTTATGCTTTATTCATAACCCTGTCAAATGTACAGGTAAGGTTAATAATCTTTCCTGTAAGTGATAAATTATGATCAGATCCCCAAGTATTTGCAGCAGCCATCTGATTTCTCTCTCTCTCTTTCTCTCTCGACTCCAAATGTCGAGTTACACGCCTACCATTGTGACATTTGAAATCCCAAGGTAATCTGAGCTGAAGAAATGTATTCTTTTAAAAATTCCGTTTACGGAGTAGTAGACCTACGGGTATTTAAAACTTAAAATATTTTAAATGGGCCGATTCCTTTTCAGAACAATGTAAAAGGAAATCTTCCCAAGAGCAGGTGGAGTCTTCACAACTCCCCTTTCGCCATTCTTGGGGAAGGAAACTATGCAGTGAAGATCACCAAGAAGAGGCACAGCAATTATTTCTACGTTTGTGCAAGGCAGTGGTGGGTTCCAACCGGTGTTATCACTGGTTCTCTTCGCACATGCGCTTTGCACGCGATCACCACACGCATGCTGGCTTTGCTCGCACACGCGCTGAACTTGCACTCCGTGGAAGTGCATTAGATTTCTGCCCAGCTGAGGCGCAGCAATCTACTCTGCCATGCCTATCAGCTGGGCTAAAAAATGACAAATAAAGGTAGGTATAACGCAGGGGAGGGCGAGAGGGCCCAGCTCACAGTCAAAGAGAACCAGTTCATTGACATCACATCATCACCACTACCGGCTCGCCCGAACCGGGCTGAACCAGGAGCAACCCACCACTGGGGCAGGGGAAGGGGAGGAAATTATAGGAATGAAATTCTACTCATCCCACTGTTAGATTCCTCCCTGCCACCAACAGCTGGACTCGTGCAACCAAAATCCAGTCATCCATGCAACAGAATGTGGTAGAACTTCAATTTAAAGGAACGTAATTTTTTTCACGTATGTGTTTGTATGTCCAAAGGACATGTTTTATTTAGCACGCTTGCCATTTCGGTGGGCATCCATTATAAAAACGTGTTGCATTTGCCATGGGAAAACCTGGTGTTCAAGTCTCTGGACTGTTTGATGAGGGCTTTCTTTCGGGCTTCGTCAATCTGGTGGACTTGAAGGTCTTGATCTCGGTCAAAGGGCCTTCTCTCCTGAGGTTGATTCTTTTCTCCGTCAGTTTTACTCTTTAGCTTCTTCCGGTGTATGTCCAGCAGAGATTCAGATCTCTGAGAGTCCTGGAATTTAGAATATTTAGAATAATAAATGTTACAAGAATTAGAAAATTGGAAGAAAGACAATGGAATTATGACATAGACAAGTAACAGCAACTCAGTTACCACAGAGAAGGGACATCTAAGTATTCAAAGACTACTGTTTACATAGATAGAAT